AAAAAAAAAAACCCAACCAGACTTGCAAGTGAATAGAACTGGTTCAAAATCCAGTATACAACAATCTAAGCAATCTTGCCTGTAATACTAGTGAACATCCATCACCTGCCTAATGGGCAAGTAGTTGACATTTTAATTTAGACTTTTCCTCAGTTGGTTGGGTTTTAAAGCACATAATGGACAACTTAATGCCCCACAAAAAATAATATGCAAACATAAAAAGATAATTTCTTAAGAAGGATTAAATTCTAATTTCTCATCAAAATCATAATCAATGCAGTATTCTCAAATGAACAAGTGAAGAGAATACAGAATTTAACAGGTTTAGGAAACATTGCCTGACTTTAAAAGAACCTCATCATACTAATTAAGTTGCAAATTTCCATCTTTATAACATACCCTGCTAATGACAGCTGCCAAGTCTCTCCATTCTCCAGTAAGTCCAGCAAATCCTCCTAAAGGCTTTAAAAGTCTGTCCTGTATCATAAATATCACACAGGATATTCAGTTTCCCAATTTTACTTTTTTCATACCAGTTTTCATTTATTGACTTTTATCCACATCATGGGTATTTTGGCTCAACTAAGTCTCGCCAAAATACAAACCAAACTCGCCTAATATGCCACCGAAACGTACCAAAAAGGTACGATTAGGTATTTAAATATCAGCAACAAGAACAACGTTCACTCCGAACATCATTTTCAAGGTTGGAACTATCCACACTGTATGTACATGCATTTTAACCCTGTCAGTGCAAATCTTTGTCCAGATTGAAACATCATTGATTTCAGTCTTATTCCTTGCGTTCATTTGGAGTATTACCATAAAGAATACTAAATACTCAAAATAAATTGCACATGTATTGTTCCCGAAAAGATCCACACTCCTACCACAGAGGGTTTTTTGGTTTGAACCTCCCACCCCTCTGGAAATTCCAGTTTTGGTTTGTACTTTTCTGTAAAAAAATTTGGCTTTGAGACCCCCCTTCCCATTGAAATTTCTAATAACCCTCCACAGGGTGAGCATGGATATTTTCTGGAAGCACACATTTCCTTCTCATAGAGACTTACTGAGGGGTCTGTTTCTGCAGCTATGTAGTCCCCTTTGATAGCATTGTTTAGCATAGCTTTCATATCAATTATGACACTCTGAAAAGAGAATGAATAAGATGCAACAGCTATTCAGGTCCTTTCAAGCTACATAATTTGTTCTGTGCACACGGTTGTTTCCCCTAATAGTGAGAGCCAAAGGTATTTTTTTTCTAATCTTCACAAGACTAATCATGCAAGACTATTCAATTTTACGTGGACTTCTACATAATATATTTACAGTATATGTATCCTTCATCCATAAAGACTGATCAAGATTTCCCTGGTGAAAAGCCTTACAAGATCTTTGAGGATCTTCCAAAATCTTTTAAGGATCCAATCCTATACAGTCAGTTGTAGATGTACTCAGTGAGATGCTCATGAAGTTGCTTGAGGATCCCTGAAAGATTTTCACCAGGGTTCCTCCATACATACACGACTCTATGTTATCTTGAATTCACAGAGTAGCTAAGAAGCTAATAAATCTCAAAAAAAAAAAAAAAATTGGGTAACTATTAAATAAATTAATAGTATCCTGAGATCATCTTGACAGCATTAACTATTGATTTAATGGCTTAGATTAATAGATGAACTTAACACAGCTGGTATTTGCAGAGCTCACACCTTCCCATGAGTGTTTTGGTTTGTTGGATTCCTTGTTGTGTTTGTTATGGATGTGCCAGCCAGGTTCAGTTCTGATGATGTGACCGTTGGACTGCTACTGCTGGGAGGTGAGTTGTTTTTCTGAAGAAAAAGGAAATTCAAATTGTTATTCTATTAAATTTTATATTTGTTATCAATAATTAAGGAAATTTTGTTTTCAAGATTAAATGTCAATATTACACTATACATGTGTGCTCAAAATATATTCTTAGTCAAGGAAAATGACTGTTCAGTTCAACTTGGCATTTTAATATACATATACTGTAACTACATTTAAATCTTTTGACTCTGTTTGACGCAGGATATTGAACGGCATGGTTTTAGAAAGGGTATGGGACCATTTTTTTTTTTTTAAGTATTTAGGGTTTTATATAGCTGAGATACATGATTGTATTTATAGGGGGTTTTAATTTAGTAAGTTAAAGTGGTTGTACTATTAATTTAGTATGGCTTTGAGGGTTTAAAAATTGTGAGGCATAACTTCATTGACATATGTCTTCTCTTTTTGTCCTGAGTAATTCCTTGACTGCATCCCAGCTAGCTGGGTGCTTTGCACACAATGACTGGTTGGCCTGTCCCATTTTAGTTTCTTCCAAACAAGGAGGTCATGTTCAGATGTTCACTTGCCATACCTTTTGCTTGGAATTTGTAGTTTTCCTCTTTCCATCACTGTTTGGTCTCTTTGATGAGCTTGGTGACTGTGAGTTATCTGATCCTAATTGTCCATTAATACTTGGAAGAGACACTGAGCTGCTACGAGAGCTGACAAATAGAGAGACTTATTTCATTAAGCAAGCATAATATATCTTCCAAATGCTGTGTATTGATGGGTAATTTCAAGTAATATATCAAACACAAGAGACTGTGTGAAGACATCAATGATCATCGCAGTTCTGTGAATTAAAGCCTGAAAAAAAATTCACGCTGTAATGGGATTCAAACCCATGACCTCTGCAATTAACCAGTGCAGTGCTCTACAAAATTAAGCTATCAAGCCAACTGGGAGCTGTTGAGATTGTGAGTTTGTAATAATTATACCCGACTAGATGGTGAAGAATACAAATGAATATACATAAATATGACAGATCATATATTTGGACTGTGGAGAAAGACATGAAGACACATACTGTATATTTGAACTGTGGAGAAAGAAATGTTCCAAGACATCAATGATTTTGCCTTCATATCTTTCTCCACAGTTCAAATATAATTATGATGTTACATTTGGACAAGAGACTGTGTTTTACCACATTTCCAAACACAGACAAGAGAGTTGAAAATATGATGTGCAGACGAATATTTTTGATATGTCTTGAGCCTTTGATATATATTCTCAATTGAAACCAAAACTAAAAAAAAGGGGAAAACAGAGAAGTACATATGCATGTATACTAAATCATAAAAATCAAAATTATGATCAGATAATTACATATCCAAACACAGGCACAGTTTAGACTGTGACTTCTTTTGTTTAAACTTGATGAGAAGATTTAAATAGTCAAGATATTGTAAGAACTTCAATGAAGCCTGTAACTTAAAGATTTTAAATGTACCTTCCCGACAAAGTTTTTGGCTTTGGAGGGAGCGCCTTGCTAGAATCAGCTGAAATATAAAAGGAATGAATCAACAATATAATCTACTACACTAGTTGGAAATAATCTTAAGAATTATTTTTCCCTGCATTGCATTCATTGAGGGTTGTACAGGGGTGTTCTTGTGATGCGTGATTAGCTGATTTTATTTTCCGTGAAACATAAATTGAAGAAATTATTCTTTGTGATCCGTGACTTGAAGGTTTTGTGTGACCTGTGAGGAACTTGAAATATTACTGTGCATTTACTGAAACCGGGGCCACCCAGACAATGAAAACCAATCAGGATTTGAAAATGTTGGAATCTATTGTTTCAGTTGTGCCATCTGATTGGTTTTCACTGTCTGGGTGGCCCCAGTTTCAGTAAATGCACTGTAACCAATATCTGTGATTTCACCACTCTATTCCACATGATTTTGAGATGTGAGTCCTCCAGAATATTTATTAAGACTGAAAACATCAATTGCGACCTCTTTATAATAATTATTATTGTAACATCTCATAAAGCATCGGGAACTACATGTACCAAGTAATAGAGGGTTTTCATTGAATGACGTACACTTTGTTTAATCTTTGTAAATGTTGTAAGACCTAGTAAATTAATACTTTGCATGCCTATCATGCATCAGATGTCTACTCCTATCATGTAACAGGAGGTCAAAGGACAGTGATCCAAAACACTAAAATATGGCAGAGCAAACAGAGACTAGTATGATGAGGGCTGAGTGTGTTATATTTTATGTGGACCCAAAGTCTGTGGGTTCACATAATTTCCCTGAAAAGGAACAAGGTCACTTTCCTATTACAAATGAGCATTCATCTTGCAGTTTTTATTAGTTCCTGGAATTTGCCAGATTAATGGAAGTCAGGTTGAGAAACTTGCCCTTGGCTCCTGTATTGAGGTTACCTTTTGTCGGCTCAAAAAGGAAAGAGATGGCAGTGAGTCATCTATCGAGAGTAATTTAGGTATGCAATTTGCAATATCAAGCCTTTACTTAACAGCGCTCACAATTTTACTTTTTCCAAATACTCTTTTTCAAATACTCTTTCTGGCATAAGAGCAGGTTTTTAAAAAGAGTAATTTACTTGCTTATTTTTGTGATTTGGGAAAATGAAATTTTGAAATCCATGATCTGTGATGCCCTATTTTTTGCATTTGTGAACCATGCCAGAGACCCCCCTGAACAACCCTCTTTGTTGGTATGGAGCACTGTACCTTAAAAGTCCAAACCATTTTGTTGTTAAATTACATGTCTTGACCTTTCTTGAAATAAGAAAACTCTTACATTGTACATGTATACCCACAAGTATAACATGAAATTTATGTAAAACTAGCATCCTAAAGGTTACTGAACAAAAATAAAATATTTAACTTACTGAAAATCATAAAAAAGTTACATAATTTGTTGTATTTCTGATCATGAGCAACTCAACTTTATTTGCAGAGGGAGGCGGGGAGTGGGAGGTGTTACTATCAGTATTCTATGGTAGTAAAATGTAAACAAAATCAGATTTATAAATAAGATAACAAAGTCATTCTAATTAAATTTCCTCACCACTTGTCACCTTCTTTTTGATAATTTTGGGTCCTCGATTAAACTTGACCAGATGATATGACTCAAATTCCTGTCAAGACAATGTCAAATACAAGTGACAAAACTTCTCTCACATAATTTAAGGCACTAGTAGTCCACACAACCTTTTTTTTTATTTCGTATAGTCATACTCATTAGCATATATACTAGTTGGAAGTTTGGAAAAAGATATTTACATGTAGCTTTTTGATGTTAGTTAAGATGCATTATTCTTTTTTTTAAGCAGGTGCTGTACATTTTATGTAGTGTATACAGGTACTTATCTAGGAATAAATTAATTGAAATTAATGAATTAATTAAATAAACAGTAAAGTTTACACCTTAGCAGGCTATTATTTTAGTGCATTAATGGTTTAGCAGATAGCAACCTCCTAAACCATCTCAATTCTTCACTTGCACGTGATGTCACCATGTTCTAAAATCCAAAACTAAAGAGACACCAAAGTTTTTATCCTCATCAGGAATAAGGGGTGCTAAATTGATAACTATCTGTTTACAACTTTTCAGCTTGCTTCATCTGGAAACCGGTGCATTTTGAATTTCAGAGAACTTTATGGCTGTCTGTGACAATTTTTGAAGCTACAAACACGTTTGTCATTGAAAAAATATATACTTATTTCGTGATTTTTAGCCTTTTCAAAAGTTACAGCATTAGAAAAAGTGCTTACACTGTACATAAATGCTTATTATTTTGTTCAGTACAGATAATCAGTCGCCTAGATATCCAAAGCAAGTTCCAGATGTTTACACTATGGTAGCTCCATTGTGCAAAATATTTTGACGAGTATCTGAAGTTTGGAAAAATGCACAGACTTATAAAACTTGGAGAAGTGTCTTCTTTATTTATCTCCTTGGCTATAACATCGCAATTTCTCGACTTGCTCCACTAGATGGTTCTTGAATTATTTTTTTGTTGCATAACAGTGCACGCCAAGAATAGTGCACTCTGCACTAAAAAGGACATTGTAAAATTGTTTACCTGTAAAATAGTTGGCAAATCAATGTTGTCGCAGACCTCAAACTTGGTCAGACTTGTACCTCCTTCTTTCTCAAGTGCATGAGCTGAATCAACATAGCTATATGAAGAAAAGAAAATCATCTATTCAAAGGAGCTCAGTCATGGTATTGTGAGTTATTTTGGCCGCATACAAAATTACCTTTAAATGGTACAAAACCTGAAAATAACAGTTTAATAAGATAGAAAAACACCACAGAGATAATGATAAACCATAAAGGAAAAAGGATGGCTAAGGATTGAGAAGATTAACACAGATTGGAAACGATGAATTTGAAAAATTGAGGCTAAACTTTTCAATATGCGCAAACCGTGACTGAGCTCCTTTAAATTGATCACAATTTCTTTGATTGTTCAGTTCCAGAAAATATTCATATCCATCCTAACGAAGGTCGTTGGAAATTATAAGTGGGATAGAGCTAGAAATGCAAAAGAAATTTCGAAGCTAAATAAATTAGGAATTTCCAGAGAGGGGCAAGGGATTAAAACCAAGAAACCTCATATGTGGGAGACAAACTGCAGTACCAGAAACAAAACACAGATCTCTGTAGTAATCAGTCCTCCTCACAGGGTGGAAGACGGAATCGAAATGAGATCGCAACATGCAAATCAATCAATCAACTTTTACATGTATGTCTTCTCAGCCAATCTTGACTAATTGACATTTTTGCAACAGCATGCACGCATGCAAGGAGAGTTGTAAAAGTGTTTTGAAAGTTTGTGAATTGATCACTGAAAGAACAAAAGCAAGTAAAAAAACCTCTGGCCGCCCAGAAAAAAAACTGATCCTGGCATGCCCAATAGATGAAAACCCATAACTGGCATGATATGATCGATTCTTATCCATATCATCAATAATAATTATTTAATCGATAATTATCAGAAATCAATGAAAATCTATGATCAAGAGAGTTGTGAGTATCGATTTTTGTCGACTTCCATTGATTTTAATAGATTTTCATTGATTGTTACTATTTTTTTGAGTTTTATTTCATAGTTTGCAGCAGCAAAAACCATAATGCACAAGAGATTTGCTTTGATCATGATGAAAGCAAAGGAATTCAAAGGAAATTTTGAATTCTTTGAGCCCAGTTTCCTTTGGCTGACTACAAGATACAACATGTAACATATTAAGCTACATTTCATTGACTGTCTGCTGTTATTCCACCAACAATGCCTCTTTACAGCTACCAATTTCCTTTTCCTTGCATGATAAATGATTCTCCTGTTGTCACAGTAAATTCACACTCATAGCAACCTTTGATTACTCCCCCGTCAGTATGACATCCATACATGTTATAGAGATCCACGGGGTACTCCCTTGTATGGGCTGTATTGGTATGTGCGGCCCCAATGGGTAGGGTTTTCAGCTGTTTTGGTCAATAGAGTATCGATTTTGGCATTTTCGATAGCAGTTGCGAGGATTTGAGCTGTGAGTATCGATTTCCATTGATCAATCAAGGTAATCGATAATAATCGATTAATTAAAATCGATTATATTGATTATATCGATCGCCTTCGATTGGTTACGCCGGGAACTGATGCACGTGCGAGTTAGCGGCCGACACGACAAGTACAAGTAAGTTGAGTTCTAAAGTTGTAAAGTGACAACTCACCCTTCCTCACGTAAGTGATGCAAGATAAGTATCAACAGAGTTCTTTTACGTTGTTCATATCTTTGTTCTTCCTGGTGGAACAACCAAAAACATTTCAAAATATTCGTACAGTTGCTCAGACTTCTAGTCTACATGTAATACTTAAAACCAAAACCATTTGAAAAAGTTTACCGCTTGTCTTGCTTCATTCGCAGTCTTAAGCTGCATATAGCTAAGTTCCTGTGTCATTTAACTCAGTAGAACTCCACAACGGGAGTTACTTCTTCAAAACAAATTAGTTTCCTTCCGTTGCAAGGGACGCCATCTTGCATTTTCCTGGAGATCAGAGCCCGCTGTACAGAAGTCTGGCGGTTGTTGTGGTAAACGTCTGCGCAGAATTGCTGGAAGGAAGTATGGCGTCGTTGTTCGAATGTGTTGAGGTGTGATGACAATTAATTCGAAGTAGGGATATTGCTTATCGTGAAGACCAGTTTGAACATCGATCAATATGCCGCACTTTTCTTAGTTATTCATGATGTTGCGAAAACGACCGAGGAGAAGGGAATGGACGATGGAAAATCCAATGAGTGCGCGACTGAGGGAAGCTGTTGCTAGTGGCAATGTGAAACTAGTGCGGGATCTCATCAAAGATGGTGCCTCCGCTAATCAAATGGACGCGAATGGTTGGACTTTATTGCATTTAGCGGCCAGCAGAGGGAAAGAACGTGCCCTCAGAGTACTCCTCGAGAAAGGAGGGGACGCATTTGCGCGTGATTTTGTTGGAGGTTTCACTGCGTTACATTACGCAGCGATGCACGGGCGAACAAGAATCGCTAAATTGTTGTTAGATTTCAAAGGATTAGACAAAGAAAAGCTTGTCGATGCAAGAAGCGAAGATGGCTGGACACCTCTTCACGTCGCTGCACACTACGGTAGGGACTCATTTGTCGAACTTCTTCTAGAATCGAAAGGTTACGTCGACGCCTTGAGCGACAAAGGCACAACGGCGCTTCAACTAGCCATCATTCGTGAAAGAACAAGTTCGATTCGGGTTTTATTAAACTGGGGAGCTAACATCGACGTTCAGTTCGGCTTCCCCCTCCGTTATGCCGTTATAAAAGGTAATGTTAATTGTGTTCGAATGCTGGTTGAGCATGGTGCACTCACAAGTATCAAAAGGCCCGAGGATGGCCAAACTCCTCTTCACTTAGCAGCGCTAAGAAACAGCGAACCCTTGGCACGCTTGCTGTATAAGTTTGGAGCAGATACAAATGTTTTCAACGATGAAGGACTTACACCTTTGGCGATAGCAAGAATGATGTACAATGTAAACACTGCAGACAAAGCCTGTTTGGATTTTCTTATCAGTGTATCAAGTAAGTGTACACAAAACAAATTCTTTAGAAATAAGTATATTCTATCTTTATTAATATATACGGTAGTAGGTTTATGTTAAGTACGGGTTGATTCATGGATGCAGAGACAATCAAATAGTGCAATCAACAACTGCATGTACATTGTACACTTAGTGAAAATTAATTTATACTAAGAAGCCTCTCCTGTTATCTTAAGTGTATAGAGTAAAATGTAAATATTACAGCTTTGCATTGTAAATCTACAATGTACCATATTCAAGCTCACAAGGAAACATATCCAAGACTAGCTGTAAGTTCTAAAGGAGTTTCTTCCCTCCAAGAGAACCTAATGTAGCGGAGACCTGTCTTTGCAGGCAAAGACATGTCAGATCTATCATAACAGTTTTCAAAATAATTATCTATGAAACTGAAAATGGTCCCTTTCGAAATTACTCTTAGTTGTTCATTGTCTTGCAATAACCTCACACTGAACGAAAGTGTACATGTACACAGGTTACCTGATTCTCAGTACTTGGTGATTGCCCGAATCAAGTATTGAGAACTGAGTCAAAAACTAAGGCTTTGAGGGACTTTCAACATACACTTTTTTCCTGATAATCATAAGTGTATTGAAATTTCCAGTATACTCATGAGTCTTTAGGCAGCTGTATGAGCAAAGAAAAATCATGCCACTGCAGAGTTAGGATACTGTACCAAAAAAAATTATGGCTGTGTTATGAAAATATTCAGAGATATCAAATATATATATATATTTTTACAAATTTTAGTGTTTTGGATCAACTTTTGAATTTTCTTAAAGGTGTCCAAAGAGTTCAAAGTGCAGTTGACAACTGATAATCAGGAGCAATCCCCAAAAATTACCAACTGAATGTTTATTTTGTTTAAGTTTGCCAAAGATTGCTGTTTCTCAGGATGATGTGAAGGTGCCAATGAGTGCAACCCACTACCCTTTATGCCCAACTCAGAAAGTTATTACAATCGCTTGATTTACAGGAGTTTCATTAACATTTTAAGTGGGAGGGTAACTGGTTTTTACAGATGGGCATGACTTTTTGAACTGATGAGAACTTCTTTATGAGAAAACCTCCCTCTAGATGGTCACACTGGAAGTAGAATTGAACCACAACTTATATAAATACATGTAGTACATATGCATATACTGTAGTGTAATTTTCAGGTGTTCAGTAAATATTCTATTGCACCGTTCAAATCAACTCAAGGAAGAGATCAGATTTGTTCCCTTGACAGTTGCTACAGGGTTGGACATTTCATTTTGATAGCACTCACCCAGACCAGTTTTCACTCGCCCAAAAGTTCCCCCCCTCTCTCCAACCATTTTAGTTTTACTATTTTTATGATGAAATTGACTCCATTTTGTAGCTAGTGCAGCCATTGATAAATCTAGTTGAGTTTATGACATTCTGTGTGACCAAAGTCTTGTTTGTTCTCAAGACACCACTCACAAATCATACCTTTCTCCTCATCATACTTTAAACATGGCCGGCCAACTTGCCATTTCATAGAAAACTTCCTGCTCCTTGTCTTCTCGTATTCCCTCATATCACAGGAAGCTTTCGGGGCTTTTTCGTTTTTTTTCTCGTCAACAACTTTAGAAACTCCAGAAAGATATTTCCACATTTTGGCCGCGATGAGTTTACTCCATTTTTAAACTTACCAGAAGAACACACATTGATCAGAGTGTTTGGAAAGTATGTGAAAACAATTTGTTCACAACATCCTTGAGCACGTGGCAGACTGATGATTATTTCTTCAATGGAAAATTATATTTAAAGACCTTTAATTCCAAGAAAACACAATGGAGGCACTTACTTTATATTTCAAATAGTTTTTTATTGATGAATCTTTGTGAGATCCCTGCAGTTTGCGAGAAAACATGTCTGTTCTTCTCAGGAGCGGTCCTTGGGCACCATGTTTACCTGTTCACCGATGGCTCGATAACGACCAGCAGTATCACTTTGTACAAGTACATACATTGTGTAGTTATCAATAGGAGGAAGCCATAATCATTTGTCTATTTACGAAGTCCAATGTTGCCTTTCAGCATCAATTTATTAGACAGTTTGGAATATAAAACTTTGTAAAATAGAAATTGTAAGTTTATGTTGAGGGATTTTCACATCAAAATGGAATGTAAAAGAACAGTGTTTATTTTGCAATTTAAATAATTTCTTGGCAACGAAAATTGTACTCCCCAAATGGGCAAGCGATCGATGATTTGCACTCGCCCGACTTTTTAGACATTCGCCTGGGCGAGCAGGCAAGTGCTGGTGTCCAGCCCTGTTGCTATCAGTTTTTTTACCCACCCACCCACCTACCCTTATATCTACCATATATGTACACTGTACATATGACAACAAGCCAGACCACAACGGCACCAACTATGCCTTGCTCGGTAGTCTGGTGCCCTGCCAATGGAACAAACTAGGCAATGTTTTAATGTGAAAAATTATTGTAATTTTCTAATTTGTGTTTTCTTTATTTGTCAGAAAATCCAAGGAGTTTACAAGATTCTTGCCGTTTTGTTATTCGAGAGGCCCTAGGTGCCAAACGCCTTGAAGATATAGCAAAGCTACCAGTATCAAATATAATGAAGGAATTTCTTCTCTACAAGTATGACTAATTTGGAAACCTCAAAGAGCTACATGTACTCTGTAACTTTAAAAAAAATGGCCTGAAAGTGTACATAGCCCTTGCCTCATACCCCTTGTGAACGGAGTCTGTTTCACATAGGGGCTTGTGTCAGGGGACAAAAAGACAACTAGAACTTTAGGATAAAATTTTAATCTGTTATCAACCCTAGCACTGTTTGGAAGAGGAGCACTAGATTTGCACTTTTTTAACACAACATTTGAAAAGCTAAGGAAACATACATATACATGTGTAGATCCATGTACATGTATATTTTAGATACCAACTGAACATGTAAAAACCGAGCAATCACAGTTTAATTTGATTGCATAATGCAGTACTTGGCAAATGTTTTCTCTTGTCACACATTTGTGATTTCACTTGGCAGCCATGACTGCAACAATACAAGCTTTTTCTTTTCAAAATTAATATCAGTGCTGTGAGGTTATGTAGCAAAAAATTGGAAGTGATAATAATTATTATTTTGCAAGAATCTGCTTAGTTCGTAGTGTGTGCTCTTGTTGCAAAATATAGGTTAACAAAAATCTTTTTGTATGTCAGGTTTGCAATTTAGATATAAGTGGGGAAAGTAGCATTAAATGTAATCTTGGGAATCTGATGTGAAAATAATTTGTGCGAGACGTTTTACAGGCCCCATTTTGGGGATAAATGTACATGCAACTGCACTTTCATAATTTTTTGTTCCTTTGTTTAGAAGCCTGATTCAATGTTTAACATTTGAAAAAAGGAAAAAAAAAACATACAGATATCTATGTAAAGCTAGCATATGGCTATTGATTCCCACATAACTTGACTAGCAGGTGATACCTGTATCCAATGTAGCACATTTGTCGTCCTGAAAAAAAATGGTCTGCATTTAAAAGCTACTTATTAAAACATAAAATAAATAAAAAATAGATATTACAAAGCACCCTTTAAGAAAGCATGTGCTAAAAGCCACTCTTTATAGCTTCATAGAAACACAGAATTAGCATAAACTATTGGTGTACAGTCTAATCATACCATGAGTGATGAAGATTTACAGTTTGGTAATTAAGATAAGCAAATGCTTTTCCGTTCATTTTCCCGCAGTATTTCCTAAAATAAATTGGAAACATTAAATTTTTCTCTGTTTCTATCAAGTAATGGAGTTGGCATAACTTGGAAAGAGTGTAGAGACACTTGTCTGTTGCTACTGTTACCACAGCATTTCCTGTTCTCCAAACTTCCACTCCTGTTTCCTTAGCTCGACAGAAACAAGGATGGTAAACAAAACTTTATTTAAGTGTATGATAGGTTTTCTGATGTACATGTACCTTCTGGTCTTTGTCATTTACTCATCATCAACCAAAAGGGGCAGATCTAGGGGGAAGGTGTTGGGGTACCCCCCCCCCCCCCGCCCCCTGAGATGAAGCCTTCTTCTTTGTATTCACTTTTAAAATTTGTTTACCTCGCCAGTCAGTTACACCATTTCCTTAGTGGTGCACCCCCTCCTAAGAAAAATCCTTGATCCGCTCCTGACTTAACGGCATTTGGATGTGCTATGTGTAAAAAGAGTGAGATACAGTATAAAGTTCGTAGTGCTTTATTTTGGCAATTGGTTCCAAAATAAACAACTATCATGTACAAAGTAAGGATAAAACAGTCCTCCCCACGCCAGAAACCTCTGAAAGTGATAATTACATGTACTGATGAATAAGGAAAGTAGTTTTAGTGTATTACATAGTTAGCTTACTTTTACTAGAGAAGATGTTTTACATAGTTTTACAATGTAAATTTATCTCTATTTATTTTTCAGTTACTGTCTGGGAAATTACAAACCAGATAACTTGGGAGTTTTATTCCACTCAAGTGGCATATCTTTTACTTTTTTTTATCATGATTGTTTTGTATTTTTCTTGAAACCTTAACATTTTTACTTGAACTTTTTCCAATTCAATGTAACAACATTTTGCCAATTTTTTTTTAAGTGTTTGTAGACTTAAGTAGTAGACATCAATACACTGTTTAACTCATTGATACATTCTTAGACATGACTTGATGTTGATATTGTTGTTGTAATCTTGTTGTCAAATATTTCACTTTTTAGAAAGTTATTGATGTTTGTAATTTGATTTTATTTTGCTCGGTGTCAGATTAAAGGGATAAAAATAAAAAAATCATTGTTATGTGCAAGTGTAATCTATTCATCATTGATTCATGTATAGACGGTCTGTGAATGAATAAAGATTTGTTCACATATGTACCTCTGACCTGACATGCATACAGCATTTAGATGTAGTAATTCAGCTTTGTTTTGGCAAACCAAATTTCAAATTGCTTTTTTTATATGTTGATGAGGAGGGGAATTTCTTGTAAACACTCACACCAAAGCGCCAGTTAAATTATGACACGAAAACGTTAGCATTGCTATAGCTTACTGTTTTTTTCAATTTTCCAGACACAAAAAAGTAATTGCTACAATCGATGATAAACATCTTTACGTTGTAGATATCAACCCCTTGGTTGATGAAAGTGAAAACTCTTGCATGTTAATCGGAAAATTTATATTTGTCGCATACAGATTATGTAATGTCTTGAAAAAAGTCAGACATTTACAAACAGAAAGGTCAAATATGTCAAATCGTCGCCTTGTTTCTTCTCCCGCAAAGGCTGCTAGTTGTTAAATGATGTCATGACTTGTCGCTTGGCAAACACGACAAGTTGCCGTGTAAACACGTGATGTTTTCAAGTGAGCAGTCCGTGAGTGGCAAGTTAGGACGCCTTTGTGTAAAGTTTGTTACAAAATTCTCGTTATTTCGCCCCTTTAACCTCACATCCTTACAGGTAAACGGATTAGTGGGGTACCTTGCTATCTTGTTAAAAAGGAAACCGTTTTTCTAACCGAACAAGCACGAAAGTCTCGTTAACTTTGATGCTGAATTCTTCAGATTTAGCGTACTGGCAGAAACTACAGAGAGGCAGAAAGTGAAGCTAGAGGACGGCTCTGTCAACTGGAGAACAAAATCAAAGATGAAAGAAAAATCAATGGTAAGTGATGAACAGAAATGTTCGTATTTGGTTCTCGATAAGATTGCCAGCTAGTTTAAAGTTAGATGCTTTCTTGCAACTAGCATTAGGCTGCAGTAAAATTACAGTTAAAATTTAAGCTGTAAGCCTCAAGGTTGAAGCTCGCATGTGGGCATTCCTCGAGAAAATTGGCATGGTTTTTTTTAAGTTCCTTTATAACAGGTGACGTTCGTAAAACTTATTTTCAACCTTCAAAGCTGGAAAATGTTTGTCTTCTGGGTCGAGTGCCTCGTCCGTCATTTTGAAATAATAGTGAACAATGTTTGGTATGGAAACCGATCGATACCCAAACCAGGTGATATGCTTCTGCCCAAACCCAATGTAAGCTTTATGCATAGGATTTTTGTAGAATGTGATTGATAAAATGTCCTAAGACGTAGGGTACTTGACAAACATTTGACCGATCAGTGCAGTTCAAACCAAGCTTTTTGGTCACTCAGACTGAAAATATAATGCGCTAGGAAGTGTCTAGACTCTCTTTTGGTTTTCCAAATAAACAAGAACCAAAAACAAAAACAACCGCTGTAGTTTTGAGCATATAACTAGAAAGCCCGGATATAAGCGTGTTCGGACCTTCGAGTTGAGCGTTTTTCGGTGCTGAGGTCCTTCTCAGTATTCTTTCGCTGTCCGGGTTTAACGCTTCCTTGGCTGTATACAACGTCACGCGCCCCCTGGCGTTACAAACTCATTTAGCCTTTCAAAGTGCGCCAAATGATGTTTACCGAAGCTTAGTTTTGTACTGGTTTGGTGTTCGAGTCACTGAGTGAAAAACCGAATCATTTTATGATTTCGTTCTTTCTTCTTCCTGTTTTTTTTGAGAAAAAAATAAAAGTAGAATGAGACATATAAGTTGTTAGAATGAAATATGTTTTTAAGAGAAAATAAAGGCCGAAACTCGATAAAAGATCACGCAATCTTTTCTGTGCGCTAAGCATGCAGTCGAGGCGTAATTAGAAGCAGAGTGAAGATTGTTGTTTGTCAGCGGTTTAAAGTTTGAAATGTTTTAAAAAGACTTGTTTGTTTGAGAAAATTTTCGGGGGTAGAGACCTTTACTGTCAGTCGACTTATCAGTTATACAGGGGTTTTATTACGGGCCAGGCACCGGGCAAATTAACCGGCTGTGAGGACGATTTTTCCCGCGTGGTTTGACCATCAAGAAAAAAAGTTCTTATATAAGAAAGCAGTTCAATTCACAAAGTTTTACCTGCCTGTAAAAACCAATTGCCATCCTGCTTAACATGTCATTCAATGAAACCCCTGCTGGTATATTTTTAAATTGTAAAAGCGTTAAAACTGATACAATAAGCATGTGTATAAATCATAAGCATTATCCAAGCATTTTAGTCGTCTTTACTGGGTAAACCGAGCGCCATTAGCCGGAAAAATAGAGCATTTAGCTGAAGCATCTTAGTGGGGAGGCAAAACCACGCTACGTAAAAGCATAAAGGCATCTGCAGGTTGATAGGATCGGTCACGAAACTCTCCTTGTCACTACTGGTTTAATTAAGTTAAAAGGTGACGAGGCCAATTGCGCTTGCGAGTAGACTTCCTCAAGTCCTTCGCTGAGTAGTGCGAAGGTCGAGCTTACGCTTCTCCGCCTCGCGCTCTTCGTTCTCAAGTTTTGGGCGTCGCAGATATTTCTTGCTCTCCGAGTTCGGCTTTCGTTGCTCGACCTGTGGGCAAGTCTATAGCCTGCGAGGAGATTGTGAACTGCGGACGCTACATGTAGATTACACAAAGTTCGTGCTAGGGAAGTACGCATGAAGACTTCTCTCCTTCGTTCTAGACAGCTGGCAGTCTATTTTTCTCTAGAAATCAGGCAGGGATTATCAGACTAGAAGACACTGAGACGAGACGTGGACGCAGCACTCACAAGACGAAAAGCTCGTCTCTCCCTAACCTCTTCTTATCCGTACCACCCTTTTGCGTACACTTTCTTTAAATTTAATTTCAGGCTGATAATATTCTTGTGAAAATTCTTAGATTAAATACAGCATATGACATTTCGGGTTTATTTGTTTTGATGGCGTAAAGTAATTTTAGAGCCAGTCTGCAGGGAATAAAGCTTGATATGACACACAGAACTTCTTGCAGAATTGTTCTAAGCATCGAACATGCGGCTAGTGCTGTTTTTGATGCTTTTTGGCTTGTTGTGCCGTTTAGACAAAGGTAGAATTTTATACGGTTTAGTTAAAAACATATAATCAGATAATTATATTATATTTACAAATTTTCATCACACGAAATTATGTTATTTTCAAGATCTCAGCCTCGGGTTTATTCTTAAAATATTCTTAAAATTTTCGAAAATCTCAATGAAAAGAGTGTATTAATACTTGTATGACGCTATAAGAGAAAAGACCGACTGCCAGCAGTTAAACGTACCTCTGGAACCGAGAATCAAGAAATTATTGATTTCGAATAGGTTATTGTTCTTTATTTGCGGAGATGCTAAATATATACATGTACAAGGCGCTATTCGCCAAAATACTAAATAAAAGTACGAAAATAGCTTAAAATAACAGAGTATTCAGTTTAAACTGCGATATATATATACAACTAGGGCATTACTGCTAGTTTTTCGTTATCTTAACTTTGGACGCTCACTCAGTTTTTATTCCTTTCTTGTTATTCGAACGTTAACATATTTTTGTTTTTGCCTAAGTAACTAAAACTTTGTCCAGCTAGAGGGATTGTTCAGTTTAGGGTGCGCATCGAAGCAATAACCAACTAATAATTTGACTCTTTCTTCTAAAATATGTAGGTATAGCTTCAACTTTGCCCTCTTTGGTACGGCTTTTTGGCGAGCATAGGTGGCCATGCATTCACGGTTTATATCGGTAGTTAGAGCCCGCCTATTCCCCAGTAACGTCAGTACCGGAGTTCTGACACAGCTTGACACCATTATGTCGGGCATAAAATATGTATCCATCATCAAGTGCTAAGCCCTCTTCCAACCGTAAAACCGTTTTGTTCTTACGCGTTTTTCGGATCACAGGATTCCCAATCTTAACTTTCGTCGTACACTCAGCTGCAAATTAAAGTCTTTGCCTTTGCATTCTCTATTCTTCTATTCTTCCAATTGGCCTTAATTCACTCTGTTTGCCCCCCAAATTTTGTATAAACCATTGTTGTCAAATACTCTTGGGAGGTCTGCATATTCCCAAGAGCATTTCACAACAATAGTTTATGCAAAATTTGGGGAGCAAACAGAGTGAATTATGGGCAGTTGGAAAATAGAGAATTGGCTCAAAGAGCGTATTACTGTTATTTCTGTCCTTCCAAATCCTGCTCCAACTGTAGTCCACTGCAATGTAGATCTCTTGTAACTTGGCGACGGTTTCAGAAGTTTCCAGCGTTGTGTGAAACAACACCGTTACATTTTGTCACATGCTTGTTACAGTATAAATCCTTGCCGGTAGAGTGCTCGACCAGCTCTATGCTGATTCGGATTCCTGTCACATTCTCAATGTAAACGCCATGGAGAATTGACGCTGCCGTTCTACAACGTTCACGTTGAACTAACTAGACAACCATCTTCGTGCAGCCCCTATTCATTGTGTCTCACCCTCACGTCATACTTTTGTGGGTACAGTGTTGGGATTAGCAGCAGATTGAACGTTTGGCTCAGATGACGACGTAGACGAATGTTGTCTAGTCCATGAACCGAATTTGTGGCACCGTAAAATTTTCTTGAATCCTTTAGAGAACTGATCACTAAGGCACCAGTAAATGATAGGGTTTACACAGCTGTTGAAGAAATTTACGATCTGCGTAAAACCAAGTAGTGTAAAGAAGTAAAACGGTGGATCTCCTAGAAAAAATAGTGGATACAAAAAAAAACATTTAAGAATTAGAAACCTTGACTCACAATGTATTTTACACATGTTGAATTTCTAATGCGATTTTGTGAATGACAAATTACTCTCTAGTTCTCTAGTTCAGCAGATGTACAACATTATACTCCGATGTAGTGTATGGTGGGGAAGTGCCCCGTTCTTTGGGATTTTCGTTCTATTAACGGACACCGTTGACATGACATGATTATGGAGTTCGCTATTTTCTCAAGACTGAGTCAGGAAAAAAGTAAGTCGATGGAAGTTAACCTAAATGATAATGGAATCTTAAAACAACTTATTCTGATATTAATGCTACCCATGAAAACTCAAAAACAGAAATCGAGAAATTCTGTCAAAAATGTAGCAGTTGGCACATCTAAGTGTCTGATTAACAGTTACTGAAAGTCTCAGCATTTCAGAGCGTGATCATCACCTTTTCAAAACAGCAAAAAAAGGCGAGGAGCAGTCGTTGTTTTTGTTGTTGATGTGGCTTCTCTTTTTGCACTTGTAATTCAAAATTCTTCAAAGATTTCACATCAAGAAGAAATAAGCTTAACTAAAATAGCTTTATAATTTTTTTTCATATTATGATCTTTTATTTACCTGTTAAACCGAAGTCAAGCCACAGGAACATGGCATACGTAGGCATCATACAAATAGCATAACATACGACAACAATGACCATCATCTTGAGAACGTTTCGTTTTCTTTTACTGTTTTTGGGATCCTCGGACACTCCACTGCCTGGAGAGTTTTCGTCTCGGTCGTTCCATAATTTATAGATCATCCTTGTGTAAGCTGGGGCAATAAACAACAGCGGTAACAGGTAGCAGGCCAGGAAGAGAAGAAGCGAATATGCCTTTCTTAGAGTTGGGGTTGGGAAAAATTCCCCGCAGCCAAATGGTGGACCTAGCTGGTAAGCCCCCACTTCAGGCAGGGCGACCAGAAAGGAGGTCATTGAAACGACTGCTATTATTAGCTTCGCTTGAAATTTTGACAGGGGTGGTGTGAATGGAAGGCAGATTGCACGATAACGTTCAATGGTGATGGCTACCAGCGAACCAGTAGATGCACTGAGATTCATAACCTGCAAGGCTAAACAAAAATACAATGTGGTGAGTAAAAACCAGCTGAACCGGAAAACGACCGGCTTCGTGAGATTAGGATGATCATACCTTGGAACAATAATGATCAATATATCATTTCCTCACATTGTTTATCAGACAGGTAACAGGAATATGGAGTGTAATCGACTACGAGCAAGAGCTAACAGGAATACTTGATATAGGTGCAGTTTTACTCAAATATACTTTCCATTGAATTTTACATCAGTGCTTTTATTTCGCATTATGTGAAAGTCTTCCAAAGTTTTTTCTTCTTCACTTTTTAAAATTGTCTTTACGGTTCCCTTTACCCCTTTTCCCAGTAATGGGATATTGATTATCCGTAGAAATTAAACCCCAATTTCGGTCTGCGTTTATTTGAAGTGTATTTCCTCGAAGTGGTCGCTGCTGGTCCTTTCAGATGCAACTTCAGATTCTCGTAACTGACACATTAAACGAGCAACAAAGTGTTCAGTGTGTCTAAGGCTCCCTATCCCTGAAACAACGGTCGTTTTAACTGCGTACTCAAGTGACGATAAAGACAGATAAGTAACGATAGCATACTTCCTATTTAAATACATGTACCCTCGAGTTAGTAAATTAACACTAGCTGAAGTGGTGGCAGGCTATTTCTAGGTTGAAAAGCTCCTTAAACTTGAAAGCATAAAAATTCTCATTGGGCCAGCCGTCAGTCTTCTAGTTTGTATATTTTTGCGTTGTACAATGTTACTCCGAGTTCAAGTCGAAGATTAGCTACAAGCAAATAGTCAAGAAAAAAAGCCCTACAAAGTAACAATAAACCAAAAAGGATGGGTGAAGGCTTGACTACGGATTGGGAGGGATTAGTGCTGAGGTACTTGAAATCAACTTAAATTCTTGATAAGCTTTTTAAATTACACCATCTTCGCGTTTCTAGCCGTGTTACTGAATTCACTTTATCTTAAAGAAATCATCTAGAGGATATTTCGACTTTGATTCAGTGAAACTACTGAAAACATTTGCTGAGTAAATTGCAGAATGTAAAAGAAATCTCGTCGTTGTCAAAAAAAATGTTAGGTATGCGCTTGCAAAACATGATTTCCAGCAGTATCCACAATCGGATAAAATCGTTTATGCCTTGATCCGCATTTTTTCCATTTATTCCCTTTTCTATATGATTTTATTCGTTTCACCTAACTAATCAAAGCCTCTTGTTTTTCGAATCTTTTCGTCGTTCTATTGAATACTCACTGGCTCTTAACGGAAAGTAACATTTACAAGCAATCAAGGCCCGCGGTAGAAGCTAAAAGATCGATGGATATGAACAGAGTAGCGTATTCTTGGTGAGTTTCAAAGCCAATTAATCTCTTTAACAGCTATGGTCACTCCTTACTAATGTGGTCTGTTGTTGACTGATAAGATTTCAGTCTGGTAAATCGCTGCCATTAGAACTGATAATATACACAAATGATAGAGAAAGAGGCTCTCTGTGTCAACAAACACAACCTTTTGTCTTGGAACGTCATTAATTGCATACTGGCAAAATTGGGGCGGATACCACAACACTATAGCGCAAAGCATAGCGCAAAGCATAAATGTCACAAATCGTAGGACTCGTAGCTAGTTTTAAGTACATTACGGGAAAACAGTTACTGGTTATCGCGTTCTTAAAACAGACCACTGACAAGGAACTTTACATTATGTCTGTTCAATAAGCCCCTTTTGATATCTCTCTTGTCTGAAAGGAGATCTGACCGTGCTGACCTGCCGAATGTGGGTGCAAACATGCGAAACGTCGGTATTTATTTGCGGTTAATGAGAAAGTGCATACATAAGTTAACAAATACGGTTTCAAAAAATCACACCAAAGCGAACTGTTAGGCGTAAAGGTTTTATTAGAAAGGCTCAAAACTGCTCGTGAAATGCTAAATGGTAACTGCCGAACGTGGGTGCAAGCATGCGAACCGACGGTGTTTATTTGCCCCTAATGAAAAGTGCATTAAGTTATCAAATGCGTACGGTTTCAAAAAAAAAGAAAAAAAACACCAAAGCTAACTGTTAAGCGTCAAGGTCTTATTACAAAAGTTCAAAATTGTTCGCAAAATGTTAAATGGTTATCGGTACCTGCCAAATGTGGGTGCAAGCATGCAAAACGTCGGTATTTATTTGTCCCTATATAAAAGTGCATAAATTTAACAAATACGCGATTTCATGAAAAACACACTAAAGCAAACTGTCAAGGGCTAATTAGAAAGGCTTAAGATTGTTCGTAAAATGTTAAATGGTACATTATCTGTGCCCCTTCCCACTTTTGTTCTGCAAGCTGAGCAGCGAAATTCAGACAACCAATCGATTACAGTTCCTTTCTTGAGTATGTGACTTCATGAAAGAAAACAAACTGGATATTACGTAACGAATGAATGAGTTGCCAGTAATCGGATACCCGTGTTTGCGCGAAGAACTCTGGGATCGTCAGGGGGCAAACATTGCTAGTCGCTAGAAGGAAATGTA